TACACATATTTGCAAGAGTTCCTGAGGTAATCTTAGCCTTAAAACGCAGTTTAACCAGAAGAAATGAGTAGAGAACAATCACATCAGGAGGCGATTAACAAGGAACTCTGAGTGACTGTATCTGGAACCATTCATTCATTCATTCATTCATTCAGGCACCAAAAGCGCAAATACTGCCTATGACGTAGGTTTTTGCAGTTTTGGGTTTGCGCTGATTGGTCGAGAAAGTTGCAAACGTACCTGTCATACAGCCTGTGTTTTGTGCCTGTCTGTGTTCATGCACGATTTAAAATTCTATGTCTCTGTTTTGCTGAAACTATGTGTTAGGATTTGCTCGCTGTGTACTATGGCGGAAGAAAGAACTGTAAGCCGCTGTTTAATGGTGCGAGTTGAAATCTCAGAAACGTCTTTGGCAGACCTAAAACAATTTGTCACCGAAAAGGGAGGAAAACTGATCGACGGTAAGTGTCTGCAATGACAACCGCTGTGTATTAGCTGGTATTAGCCGGTTTGAATTCATTTTAGCTGATTTATGTCTAAACGGAGTTATTTTGCTGCAGTGATAACACCAGTTGCACCCAATGTTCCACGTGGCGTGGAGATGGTCGAAGACAGCGAGGACGAACACATTGGCGAAGGTCCTGCAATAAACCACGCGGTCCCCTCGACAGCCTTTACTTCTTCTACTGAAGCTACTGCCAGCCCAAAGAACAGATAACCAGTTTGCTAAGCGATAAGGGGCGAAAAGGTGCTGAATAGATCCCAAGGATCATTTTCCGATTATTTATCGAAGGCCCCCGCGGAGATACCTAAAACGCATAGCCGGGCAATTTGGGTCAAGCTAAAGGAATTCTTGGAGAGCCAGGAACAGCAGCAGGAGTTAATGGAGATGGCGAGAAGTAAAAATTGTTTATTGTAATTATTGTCATATTATAATCAGAAATATAATTTAGCTTAACGCCGCTTGGTCGGCTTGCCATCAGGAGAAACATGTTTTTGCTTTTACTATTTCACGTAAAAACAGTAAAGAGCAGTAAAAAGCTAGGTGAATTTTCACAGGTAATTTAAGGTCATTTTATTTAAAGGTCATTTACTCAATGATTTAATTTACCGTATTCTGTTCCTATTTTTTTTTCCAGGATTAAAATCCAAAGATGCAAAGGCCCCACGTCTGAAAAAACACGTCAACCCGCGAAGGCGGTTCAGCGACGTCGAGATTTCAACTTTGGATAGTGTGTATGTGACGATTATAAAGGGAAAACCAAGCAAAGTTGTGATGGAAACAACCGCAAAGGCTTTGAAGCTAGATGGAAGACAGGTTAGTGAAAGCCGGTTAAAGCTGTACACTGTGTACACACTTTAATGGCAGCCATCGATTGTAGATTATCTGGGATTATAGATTACTAAATCACCCTGATTTAACCAGATTTAATAAACAGTACTGCTGAATACCTATGACTGACGTCGTTTTGGTCTGAACAAGGCTAGATCTGGCGAGATTAACTGTTTATACACGGGTTCATATTTTCTGATACTGAGCAATCGTAATTCGTTGTATTTTTACTGTCATACGTAGGTTGCGGATTGGTACAACAATCATAGGCGCAAGGAGAAGCAAAGGGCATACAAACCCGGCGAATTTAGCCAACCTGTGGAGAGGGAGGAAAGTCGTAGCCGCAGCAGTGTTTGTCAAATGTTGAACTGAGTAAAATCACTGACGAAAATAAAATGCCAGTTTACTTTACTTTTTAATTACTTTGCTGGCCTCGATTTTTTCCCGCATCCAGTCTAAACTTTGACCCGTTCTGTCCCCTCTAAGAAACACGACTTCGAGTTCCCAGGATCTCTCATCTCTCCCGCCAAGAGAGACTCTGGGAACTAGGTTGGTCGGAGTTATGGTACAGATCGCGATTTCGCTCAGCTGAAGCTGTTAATCGATCATTTCTCGAGGTAATTTAAACATTCTATTCTACAATGAATAACAGACCACTTGGTTGTTCAGGTTTTCATTTAGCTTTATTGCCATACAGATTTACTTTAGAGCCTTTTACACTTTCATAAAAAGTTGAAAAAAGTGATTCGAGCTATGATTGGTTTGGTTACTTGAATTTCGTAGCTGATTGAAAAATTTGTCGATAAAATCGATAAACAGTTAAAAATCTTGTGATTATCGACTTCTATCGACAAATTTGACTTGTCGATTGACAATTATCGACAAATTTCGAGTACTATTGACTTATCGACTACGTTTTCGATGATCGACTTTGATCGACATGTTACGTCCTG